TTTTTTGCGGAACCAGGGATTGAACTTAGGCCCTTGGGCTTGCCAGGGAAGCACTTATTCCACTGAGCTATCTCCCTAGTCCCTTCAATTGTATTCTTTGTGCGACAGTGTCTCAACAAGATGGCTTATTTTTTTATGTATATTTTTTGCTGGCTCAGCCCACCCTGAGGGTGGAGCTGGTGTGGTACGTGGTATTGGGCTCCAGCTGTGGTCCCCTGGACCTGCCTAAGCTCTCCTAAGCACATACTTTAGACCTCTATCTCACCAGCCCCCAAACCATACTTTTAAATTGTATTTATTTATTTATGGTGGTACCAGGGATGGAACGCAGGACCTTGTGCTTGCCAGCCAAGCACTTATTCCACTGAGTTAAACTGCATTTAAACAAAACAAAAAAACCCACAACACACACACAAAAAAAACCCAACACATTTTTTTTGATCTTTTGCTTATTTCAATAATTCTATGGAGTCATGCATGTATTACTTGATACGTGTGTGTGTGTGCGTGCGTGCGTGCAGGGTCTCACTACGCAGCTTGGACTCCTAGTGATCCACCTGTTTTCTGCCTCCCAGTGCTGGGATTACAGGCGTGTGCCACTACGCCTGGACTCTGTAGCCACCTCAGTGTGCCTGGCCAGCGTGGCATGCGGTGCCAGGGATTGAACCCCAGCCCCTGCATTTAGCTGAGCAAGAGCTTAGCCTGCTGAGCTATTTCGTCAGCCCCATATAAAGAAATACTTGATGGATCAAAAACTTTTATTCTCCTGAGATTATCTGGTCATTGTTTTTGTTTGTTTGCAGCTGGTAGCCTAGCGCTCTATCACAAAGTGCAGCCCAGTTCTGCCTAGTCACAGCTCAACTGCTACTTAAGAAACAGAAGGGAAAGCCACCTCTGAAGAAAGTGTGTTATGGTTTTCCCTATACTACACAGTGGCCCAGTGAGGTCTAAGAGACGTGTGCTTACTATACAAGGTGTTACACCAGCCAGGCACAGGGGTGCACCCATGGTGGCAGCACTCTGGGAGGTTGTCTTGAAATAAAAAAGGAAGGAAGGAGAGAGAGAGGGAAGGAAGGAAGGAAGGTAGGAAGGAAGGAAGGAAGAACTGGGGATATAGCACTGTGTGAAGGCCCTGGGTTCAACTCCCACATCTAAACAAACAAACAACTCAAAACATCTAGTAAATTCAAGAAACTTGGGAACTCTGACCTCAACTTGGACCTGGTTGTCTTTTAAGAGTTTTATTTCCTAGATGTGGAGAGACAGGCCCCAGGCAAACACTATCACTGAGCCATACCTTAAGCTTTCTGTAAATGTGTAAAGGCCACAATCACACTTTTCTCTGGAATCAGATCTTTCTCTTGGTTCTGGAATAGCCACTAAAAACAAATGGGGCTGGGGAGATGGCTCAGTGGAATAAGCGCTTCCCTGGCAAGTGCAAGGGCCTGAGTTCAATCCCCGGTTCCACCAAAAAAACAAACAAGCAAACAAAAACAAATGAGGGGACGGCACTCTTCCTTCCTTCCGGTCCACATCTCCTGGAGCTGAGGGTAGCTTCAAATGCTTACACACTCCAGTCTACTTGTTTGGAAGCACAATCTTAGTTGAGGTAAAATCTTTCTTGAGGTTAAATACCAGTCAAAAATTCAATAATCCACAGGACTCATGAAAGAACAGTAAGGACACTCAAGAGGGCAGGAACCTAACAAGAAGTCAAGGGATGCATGCTGTGGACTGCAGAATGCTCAGAACTGTACTTGCTCCTGTATTTGGAAGGAGGCTGCGTCCGAGTGTCTGAGCTTCTGAGTGGCCTGCTGTGCTTTTCCACCAAGGATGCTGCAGTGCCCAGGAGCCTCACTGACTCACCAGGCGCTTTCCCATGCTGTGCATTCCCCATAGTAATTCCCTCCCGATGAACCCTCAACACCCAAGGCTGCATGAGATAGGGAAATCACGGACAGGGCACAGAGCTGGGCAGTCAGGTCACAGTGGCAGCAGCCAGGAACGGCCTCAAGACAGCATGGTCACTCAGCACGTTATATGGGAAGGGCAAGTGCATGTGCACTTCAGTTCATGAGAGGACCGACTGAACACCTGAAGGCTTTCGATTCTTAATCTGTAAATCTCAAGGAATGGAATTATCCATACAACCCCAAGAGATTTCCTCACCATTCTGCTTGTTTTCTTAGCTCTGCCAACTCATGGAGCCGCCGAAGGGCTTTCTCTTGTTTCTTCTCATCCTTCCGGGACCTTGAAGAGACATTGCGGGCAAACTCTCTCTGTTTGAGATCTTTTAGTCTCTGAGTAAGAAAGAAAGAACAGTGCACCGGTGAATGAGGGAAAGTCAAGTGGGGATCCGAAAGCAGAGCCTTTAGGTCTGTACACACATTCAACCAATGGCCACAGTACAGTGCAGGATGAATTACTACACTCTCCACGGGAACTGAGAGTGCAGCTGCATATACTTGCAGGGCTTGCATTTCTACTTAGGACAGCATTTGCTTTACTGGGCAAAATAAAGTGATTCAGAACCAACAAGCAAATTTTAGAGGTGGGAGGAAAGAAAAGGGACTACTTAATCATTTGCTCTTCCAGGATGCGAAACTAGGCAAACAAAACACGAGATAAACTGTGACACAGGCCAAAGAGAACGGAAAGGGGTGAAACTGGTACAGAGGTACCCAAGATGTGAGATCTTCAAAAGCAACGTACAGCTTACATGGGGAGGTTACTGGAATCAGAACCGAGAGAGAGAACACTCTGGTTCCATTCTAACAGGAATAATTTCTTTGCAGCACGAGCAGAGGTTTCCTGCACCAACTGGACAACCCAGGAGGTCTCCAGTGCTAGCGCATCAGAGCTCTGCAGCACGGCCATCTGCTCCAGGCCAGACGGCTAGTCAGAGCACAGGGAGAGCCTTTCATTACGTCATGGCCTGGTAGCCAACAGCCAGGGTGTGAGGGGAGAACCACTCACTTAGATCTCGTTACTCAGAATCCAGAAAACAGGGGCTGGTAAGATGGCTCAGTGGTCTAAAGCACCTACTTAGAACAAGCTTAGACAAAGCACAGGGACCGCGGTTCAATCCCCCAGCACCACATGCCAGCCTGCCCCGCCCCCAGGTGGGCTGACTTGGCGCCCCCCAATAAATAAATAAATAAATAAATTAAAAAAAAAAGAATCCAGAAAACAGAATGGAGCTTTTATTTTCAGAAGCTACTGTATAATTTTCCTTAAAAGAAACAACCACCAAAAACACACACAAAAAAGCTGCTACAACAGACTGGTGACACAGTCCAGGCAAATCTATTTGCAGCAACAACAGAAATAAAATTATTTTAGCATGCTACTTAACAAGAAACCATAACATGTGAGCTTATGCTTTTGCAACAGCATTAGGAAAGGAATCTGACCCAATATAAAGTGGACGGTGCTTTGTGGAACGATACGATGTCCAATAGACAGGCGAGTTCGCTTATTAATACTTACGACAGGTGCTCTGCACCTTTTCAAACTGGGAGGGAGAGGGGAGGAAGACAGGCCCACAAAGAGACACACAGCGCAAGAACCAGGTGAATGCTCACTCTTGTGGCCTGGGCTCCCAGATCTGCTTTTTTTAATTTTTTATTTATTTATGTGTGGTGTGTGTGTGTGTGTGTGTGTGGCCAGCTCAGCCCACCAGGGGGCAGGCTGGCTGGTATGTGGTGCTGGGGGATTGAACCCCGGTCCCTGTGCTTTGCTAAGCTTGTTCTAAGTAGGTGCTTTAGACCACCGAGCCATCTCACCAGCCCAGATCAACTCTTTTTTAAGAAAATATGAACTTCAAACTCCTCTTCCTGAGGGCAACAGAGCACAGAGGAAGGGACTATCAGACTCATTATTTTGGGTTATAGACCTAGTTTTTTTTTTTTTTTTTTCCCTTTTTGAGACAGGGTCCAGGTATGTTGCTTAGGCTGACCTCCAATTCATCACCTTCCTGTCTCAGCCTCCTGAGTGCAGCTAGGACTACAGATGTGCACCACAAGGTCCAGTTTTTTGGTTAAAGCTTAAACAGAATTTAAAATTTAATTTAAAATTTAAACAGTTTTTCTCAAATCTGCCATCTCTTCCACAGCTAGTTCATAAGCCTGGAAAGTACTCCCATACTCAGCTGTTCATTTTGTTAAATTCTAGAATACTGTCTTCTCTAAGCCTAGAGGCTTCTGGGTTGAATCAAACAGAGATGAGGCTCTCAATCATCCCTAGCTGCCTGGGCCCTCCCTCAAGCAGAAAGGGAGCTGCGCTGCCCTGTGGCCCTGAGACCTGCACAGGAGCACGGTGGAGCATGTACTCTAGCACCGAAGCACACCACAGACCTAGCAAGTCAATCTGAATTGGCTGATGGCAGCACTAGGGCTTGAACCAGCAGCTCTACACTAAATTGTCCTAGCAGCACCTGCCCTCCCGCTTTTTTAGACAGAGGCTTACTATGTAGTCCAGGCTGGCCTTGAACTTACATTCTCCTGCCTCAGCCTGAGTACTGGGATGACAGGAGTGTAACACCATGCCTGGCTCTCCCTGCCCTTTAAAAAAAATGTTTTTAAAACAAGGTCTCACTAAAGTTGCTAAATTATACAGGCTGGGCTTCAACTTGTGATCCTCCTGCCTCTGTCTCTGCCTCCCAAAGTGCTGAGATTACAGGCACAGGCCTCGGTCATATTCCACATTCTGAGGAAAAATCAAACTGCTTTTCAGAAGGATTATACCACTCTAACTCATTAGCAACTATAAATGGCTCTAAGTGCTCCAAATCTATTACTTGTGGGTTTTGTGGGGTTCTGGGGACTGAACCTGAGGCTGTAGTCACGCTCAGCTCACGCTTAGTGCTGAGCTATGCCCAACCCCAGGCTCTTCTGAGCTATCACAGTGGGCTGAGATAGCCTCACAGGTGGTTTCTGTAGTGTTGTACACACCAGCTCACAGCTCTCTGAACAGGGGTATCATGGTGAGAAATTTACATGTATCAGGCAAAGTGCAAGTGGAAAGGAGAAACACAGTGCGGCAGCTGCCTTCCACGGGATGGGATTCTGCGCCACCGAGAAGCACTGCAGTGTGCGCCAAGAGGACGCCTAGCCTCGGTCACTGCTCGCGCAGAACGCTGTATCTCTAGGCAGGCTCAGACTTACGAAGAAATACGCAACGAGACTGTGATTGGGGACCTACGCAGTCTACTTCTAAAACAACCAAAGGTATGAGCACACAAAATTTAGCAAACCCAAAGGTGCAAAAACATGCTCAATCCTTGGCAGAGCAACCAGATGATTTCCAATCCCCCCCCCCCCTTTTTGTATTTTAGGGAAGGATCTATAGGGTGTTCAGGGTCTCACTACTAGATCGGACTCGTAGTGATCTGCCTATTTACACCCTCCCAAGAGCTGGGATTACAGGCACGCGCTACCACACCCAGTCTCAATAGCCATCTCAGGGTGCCCAGGGGGTGGGGCCAGCACAGCAGGCCAGGGGATCAAACCCCTGGCCCCTGCTTGCAGATGCTTTAATCAGTTGAGCTATTTGGCCGGCCCTTCCAATTCTCTACTAAGGAACATAGTCCCCCAGATGCAGCCACAGTGACACAAAGGACCACTGGTTCCAGTGTGCTGGGTCCTGAGATGCAACCTCTACGTATGCTTCCAATGTGTTTCTCCGAGTACCATGTCTTCAAAAGGGAACCCCCAGACACACTAGCCTCTTTCTGTGGTACTGGGAGTGGGGCCCAGCTCTTGCTATTCTTTTCCTGAGACAGGGGCTTGATAATCCACTAGGCTGGGCGGAAACTCACAACCCTCCTGCTTTTCTCACTACACCTGGCATGGTTTTCCACTTCTGCCAGACATCACAGTTTCTGAGGGATAAACGTTCTATACTACACCAGAAACCCAGATGACCTCCAGAGCAAATGCAAGGGTCTGTGACCCTGGCAGATTTCCTTCCAAAGTGTCCTTTCCCCCTCACTTCAGCCTGTACAATTATGTTCTCTCATCTTTCACTGACTTCTGTATTCTCTTCCCATTGAGTATCAAACTAGCACTTGGGAAAGAGCCTGGCTTACACCTCTCCAGATGTGTCCGTGTCTGTGTCCTGAATCAAATGCTAGAAAATGTCTCCAGAGAAAAAAATGCAATCAATAAACTGAAACTACCAGTGGAAAGTAACCAACCAAAATGTCAGCAATTTTTTTTTTTTTATTTTTTAGGGGTCTACAGAGTGTTCAGGGTCTCACTACTAGATCGGACTCAGTGATTTGCCTGTTTACAGCCTCCCAAGAGCTGGGATTACAGGCGCGCCACCAAGCCCAGTCTCAATTGCATTTTAGCAAGCCCTCTAGAGGCGGGGCTGGCATAGTAGGCCTGGGGATCGAACCCCTGGTCCCTGCACCTGCTTGCAGGCACTTTAATCCGCTGAGCTATTTGGCTGCCCCTCAGCAATGTTTTGAGAAGTCCAAAAATGAACCTTCCTTCTATCACTGAGGAATCTCTGAGAACACATTATAGTCCAGAGCATGTTTTATTTTTATTTATTTTTTAAAATTTATGTGTGTGTGTGTGTGTGTGTGTGTCCCCAGCTCATCCCGCCTGGGGGTGGGGCTGGCTGACATGTGGTGCTGGAGGATTGAACCGCGGTCCCTGTGCTTTGCTAAGCTTGTTCTAAGTAGGTGCTTTAGACCACTGAGCCATCTCACCAGCCCCACATGTTTTATTTTTAAGCAATGAGGAAAACTACAATGTCAGTTCTTTGGTAAGATGTTTCTGGGAAATGAAATAATGAAGAGTAATGCTGTCAAAAGTAGATGTAGAACAACTCTTGTTGCATAGGTCCAGCTTTACCTTGGTCTTAACCATCCAGTAGAAAAGTATGAAGACGAAATATAAGAAATAAAGCCATGCTGTTAAGTTGAGCTGTGGGGGACTCAGGTCAATAATTTCTGACATTGCCAGTTAAACAGAAGACCCAATGCTATTATGGGCTACTGGACTCTTTTAGAATATTTTGCTGAGTTTACACACCTATAAACACCTATAATATTCAATAATGGAACTTTAAAAAAATGGGGTATAACTATGAATGTCCATTTTGTATCTGTGTATTCAAAGTGGTTGGGATAGATATATAGTTGCATTCTCTTAATGAATAGAATGATTTGTTCTAATGGTGTTTGTAAATAGGATCACAAGTCCGCATCTTGTACAGCAATTAACCACTAAGAAGAATATATGCAGTGTATTATTTGTTGAAACTGTACTTCCGATTTGATTTGAAACTG